AAAAAATAGCAACTGTAATAAAATAAAAAACACACAACTATAAACCAGAGACATTTTACAGGGAAGAGAGGGACAGATCAAAACTGGGGCCAGGAGGGCACATGGCACTGTGGTGACGGCACACGGGCAAATTGGTGGGGGGAAGCCCATGAGGATTACAACTTAGATGAAAAAATGCACAAAATGAATATAGATGTAAAAAATAAACTAAATAATACAAAAAGAAGCTTTGTATTTTGTAATAACCTTGCTTTCTTTTTTCATTTGTGTTTGGTGTATTGGACTTAACCAGAAAAGGGCCAACCTTGGGCAAACTTGAAGACAGACAAAGGTTTATACTTGAGTCTCACCTCCGCTGCTGAACCCTTCCTCTACTGGGGCATGCTCGCTGTTCCCCAAATGCAACGTACTGTAGTACTTGTGTGCTTACAGGGACTCAGACTACTTTAGACACACCTGCCTTTGACTGGGCTTTCTTTCCCCCAAACATTAGAATGTTTGCAACCTCAGATTTAATTGCTCTGAAATCTAGCCCTTGAAGGCCTCACTAGGTGATATGTAAACCTCAGGAAAAACGAAGACCAAGCAAAGATAGATTAACCGTTTCAATGCATTCATCACCATTTTCTGTTATAGAAAACAGGCCACTATTTAGTGTTTCATAGAGAGAGCCAAATCCAAAACAGTCCCAGGCAAAATTGCATCATGCCATATCCTTGAACGTGTATCAAGTTGCTATATGCAATGTGCATATAAGCCCTTATTTGCAATTAAAAGCATATGCATTTGACTTAAAACACACACACACACACACACATCTTGGGCTCTCCTTGGTGGTGCAACAGGTTAAAGCACCGCATTATGAAGCACTTGGTAACCACAGCACCAGGAGTTTGATTCCCTGCCAGGGAAGGTGACCACATGGCACGGCAGACCTCTTCTGACCCAGCCGCTGCTCCACTCAGCAGTGCACTTTGTCATTCAGCCTGTTCTGTTTCCCACTCTGTCTCTGGTGAAGCCCCTCAAGCCCCGCACATCTGGCATGAACCCCAGTTCTGTAGGCATAAATAAATAAATCTTATTTTTAAAACTGTAAAAAAAAAAATATACATCTTTTGGGTTTATAAATTCTTCTCTTATAATACAGTGATGCCCAGCAGGTTTGTTGACTCAGGAGGAAAGTCTTCAGTCAGGAATATCTCAAAGTGGATTCATTTTTCAAATGTGTTCCTCTTAGCATACACGTGGGCTTAGCTGTTTTTGAAGCAGTGGGAGTCTGTTGAAAGGGTGTGGAAACTCTTCAAACCGGCTTTTGGTTTGTAGCAGAAATAACCCAGTCAAGTCTAAAGTTCTAATCACGTTAAAAAGGAATAACTTGTATGTAATCTGCAGACAAAGCCAAACTGAAGGAGCTTTACTAACCAACTGTCCTGTAATCTTTAAAAAATTGTGTCAGTCCACCTGCACCCCCATGTTTACTGCTGCTTTATTTACAACTGGAAAGAAATAGAAACAACCCAAATGCCCAAAATTAGATGACTGGGTTAAAAAGATGTGGTACATACACACAATGGAATATTACTAAGCAACTAGAAAAAATAAACAGATGCTTTTTGCAGCAACATGATGGAGCTGGAAAAGATCATGCTTAGTGAAATAAGCCAGAAACAAAAGGAAAAATACCAGATGATTTCACTCATAGCAGGAGTATAAAGGACCAGGAGAGAAAATAATAATAATAATGAACAACTATATACCAGAGACATTTTATGGAGGTGGAGTGGGGAGTGGGATCAAAAACGGTGCAGGGAGGGAAATGCACTGGACTATGGTGATGGCACATGGGTGATTTGGTGATGGGAAGCCCACGGGGATTACAACTGAAATGGAAAAAGGCACAAATGATGTAAAAATAAACTATTA